CATCAGCATGCCCTGCCGGGAAAGCTGAAGACTGGCTCAGTCAAATTGTGAAGATCAAGAAGAAAATTGGTTTTAGGAGGGTCAAAACTGCTGTGTAATCTGCAGTGTCACATTAAAACAATTCTGATTTATTTTGCATTGCAAATGAAGGCTATTGAGCTGTCATAATGCAACCTCTCCCACCCCCAAAGTCTAGCTCTGTGTACAATGCGACTGAAGAGGTCATTATCTGCTACAGTCAGTGTCTGGAATGGCTCATCCTGCGGTAAACCCGGTGTCTGTGTGGGAAGCTCTTCAGCCCTAGTGCTATTGCCTGCTATCTTTAAAAAGTTGATCCTCATTGTTATCTTAAAGACCTTGTTCTGCAAAGGCAGTGATGATCTTACAGAGCTGGAGTTACAGCAAAACACCAGATGTTACAGAGGTGTTCTCTGGATAGTGATTCAAACCTAACATTTAAAGGTGGTGGTACTTGAAATCACCTCTCCAGCAATGTTCTAGGATCAATTTCTGCTGCAGAATCCTTCCCTACTGAGATGATAAAAATGATTCTAAGTCTTCTACTATTGGCCTTCACTGGGGAACACCAAGGACAAAACACAACGTGCAGCTTCAGCTCTTTCCCAAATTATGCTATTCAATGCTTTTCCTTGCAGGTCCTTCCTTTAAATGAAAAGCTCAACCTAGGCTGCTAGTTTAGCCCAGCTACACTTTCAGTTTGTCTGTTTAGGCAGGTTTGTAACCCAGTAAAAAGGAAGATGCAGAAGATGAGCCAGGTTCCCCAAAGTATGGTTGTAGACAGCACAGAGACAGCAAAGTCACTACCAGTGAAGTCAGGAGGATGTCACCAGACAGTTCACCCTTTCTGTGTAATCACCTGGATTCTGCCTTGAGGATCTACAAGCAGTTCAGCAACACATCTACCAGTCATTTTCCAGCAAACATACATAGGAGACCGCATATTTCTGTGGTTCTTTTACAAGCCTTTGGTAGCTGCACACTTTCCACCTGGTTGATCCTACTCATAAGTTCAAATCTGCCAATTTTAATGTAAACTGGTTAGCTACAAGATGGTTTGGACTTCCTGTAGGTAATCATTTCCCTGCCTCTTGCTTAGGTGACTCCACTCCTGAGCTCATATTTACTGCAAAAGATTGAGCTGCAATTCCCAACAGTGCAAGGCCTGACCCTACAACTTCAATAGGTCATTTCCATCTTGAATAAAACCTCTTCCTGCATTAGCTCAGTTGTATGTGTCACCAAGACGCACATGATCCCATCACTTGACTGTGTTTCTACGCACAAGGGGAGAGGCAGACAGCAGAGTGAGTGGTTAGGAAGGAATTAAATGCTTTCTGTCAGTACTTTCACCAGAGAGAACGTTTAGAGATGTTATTGGCATAGTCATGTGAAGGGCTTTCCAGACTAGATTTCATCAAAAGACTTCAAAAAGAGCTTAGGGACATAAATCTAATATTGAGATGATTTCGTGAAGAACAGAGTAATTCAGCCTTGCTTTAGAGCTGAAGTAACTCCTAGCAGAGTGGAATAAAGCCCCACACATTTTGTACAGGCAGATCCTTATTATCTGAACTCATGTGGCTCATGCAGAGTGTGTCATTGAAAGAATCACTGGTGGGGATCAGGGAGTTGTGTCAGATACGAGCATCAGGTCAGACAGATGTATCGGACATCTGCTTTATCTTCTGAACAGATTTCATACCAGGTCATTTGTGGGTACCTTTGATGTTTCAGTGAGGTTGATTTCCCAAATCCCCAAGGACATCCTTCCCTCATTAATTGGTCTCTTCCCACGTGTAATTTGAAAGCATGGTTACTGAGGGCTGTAGTGCTGCTGAACTGCTTTTAGATGCACAGGATTTAAATTCCCAAGTTGCCTAGGCACAAGACATTGTGAAAGCAAGCAAAATGGTACCCAGCTGTTTTTCGAGGTATGGATTTAAGTGACTTACCTACATTTCAATAAAATAAATCAGTGATAGATCATGAGCTTGAAGTAGGATCTGCTAAAGCCTATATAACCCCCTGAATCATCTTCCCCTGGTCTAACTGGGGATTTGGAGCTAAAGAAAAATGCTACAAGCTTAGTTCTTGGGTCCACCTTGGAGACACCTTTATGTAGAAAGCAGACTTGATGGGTATTTCGTGTCCCTTGAGAGGTACATTCTGCTTTTACAGCACTTTCTGAAGGTCAGAAAATCAGCTGCTTGAAGCCTGTTCTAAACAGTTTGCAGACTGGGAGCTTTAGTATATTGCCTACTGGGATTGTGCTTCAAAGGAAAGTTGGGGGGTGGGTTGTATTGTAAAATTAGGCTCCTACTTTACATCCATAGATACTTATTGTCTGTTATTACAAATTGCTGTTTTATTTCCTACAAGACTGACAGCTGAAATGCTGCATCCAGCTGCTAACAGCTGGGAGGCTGGGGAAATACTGCATGTGCTAAGCCATTTTCTTTGGGACTTTTTTGCATATCTAAATACAGCCTGAGGAGGAAAATGATTTCCACTGAAGATACCTTCCTTTTGTCAGCTTCCTCTCCCAACGGCATCCTTCTGATGTCTCACTTTGTGGAAGGAAGCAGAAAGGCTTGTTGTGAGCAGTGAGGATATCTGCTTTACCGCAAAAGATCTGGCAAAACGTCCTGTGGGTTTAGTTTCATCCTGAGCAGTCCAGGATCAAAAGACCAGCTTCTTTCTTCTCCTGAATCAAAATATGGAAAGCAGAGGAACCTAACTATTTCCATACACATGAGGCTAGAGCTGAATGAACCCAACTAAATCTTATCAAATAGAAAAGATGAATTCACTCAGTTGCTATTAGCACAAGAAAGACCATTAATTGGCTGAGTGCTGGAATGGCTGAACATTGATTTCTGGAAAAGTTATGACTCCTCAAAGAGGTACAAACAATATTTCATCAGAAAACTCCCATGGGAAAAAGAATATTCCTGATTCTGTATTCCAACACTTTGAAATTTATTCCATGGAATCCATTTGCCCCAAGTATTGTGCCACAAGTAGTGGAAATGAACATTTTCAGAACTCATAGGCTGAACTTTGACTTACAGTGTTATTACTCTGTTATGTCCATATAAAACACAATCAACCAGCAAACAATACATGACAGAAAAGGGAAAACGTAACTAATACTGGTGGTTAGCTTATTTTGTATCTTGTTGTCCTACTGGCACTCTTACAGCTTGCTTAGCTTAGGATGGCTAATTTGTTTTTGAAAAGATCTCCATCTGTGTAACATGTTTTGTTAAACCTAAGCCAAATTTGGTAGAAAGGAATTGTATTTTTGCATGCCAGAAAAGGATGTATTTCCTGTCAATTTTGAGGACATGCCTTTTAATTTTTTGCCCAGTGAACTGAGCTCAGATCCCTTACAAGACGTTACTGAAACCACCTCTGAGTTGTCGCTAAAAGCTATTTATTAGAGGTGGTCCTTTTATTAAAGGGGAACAAGACTTGGATGCGGTTTACTCAGGGGACACCTCTTAGTTCTTTCTGTTGCCAAGAGTGTATCAAAGAAAGAAAGGTTTTCATTTCATTTTGGTACTCTTTCACCAGAAATGCATATCACAGGACAGTAAGAACAGGTAAAGAGAAGGGGACTGGAATTCCTCCTCTGTTTTTGTTGGCTGCAACAAAAGCATTCAATCTCCTCTTGGATATTTTTTCTCAAGTGTCAAGTAACACACTGATAAGTAAGAATTGCAACGTAAAAAGAGTCTTCATATGCTTCATTTGTAAAGGGCAGGTCCTACCTGTCTAGATCATCTGGGAGATCTCTTATATGGAAAAGTGAAATATTTCATCACCTTCTGTTATTCATTTATCACTTTATTTACTCTTTTATAGATGCTTTGCCCTATGAAAACAAAATACAAATGCTGAATTGTAGGTGCTGTGAATAATCTGTCCTATATACATCTCTGCTCATTAAAAGCCATGTGCACAGGTCTGAGATCACAGACTATAAAAGACAGCCGTTGCCCCAGCCTAAGTGTACTTACTGCCCCCAGCCATTATACCTCTGTGCTTTGAAAGACCTGCTTGCTTAGGAATTTTCCTACCAGCTGATTGCCTATCTAAGGAAAACAGATACGAGCGTGAGCAGACAGACAGGTACTGGATGCAAATTATCAGTGGGAAGGGGCTCCCTGGGGGCAGCAGTTACACTTAAACGGCCACCTAACTTGGAGCTGATAAGAAGCAATAAACCTCTCGAAACCACAAGTCTGAACAAGAAAGAAATAGGCTTCATCTTTACTCTCATCTATTTTAACTCCAGGGATGATGCACAGGATAACCCTGGGGGCCAGGTTGCACTAGCTGCAAGGCAAACCCAGGTAGCTGGTGCAGCAGTGTACAGCATATGCCACTGTTTGTCTTGAATGTTTCCATGAGAGCTGCTCAATTTTGAGCCAGGTTACAGAAGAGTGGTTTTCAGATGAGCCTGATGGATGCAATATGCACTAATGTAACTTATGCATCAGAAAGCTCAGATCCCATCCTAACTCTGCAAGCCATCTCTATGGAAAACGGAGCGAAGGCTCCCAAAGCAGCCGTGCATTTGGGGTTTTTCCTTTAAAAGCTTGTAGTCTCCATCTGTGAATGAACTCAGCTGCTCTCAGCTGGTGTAGATCAGGTAAATTACTATGTTGTGTGGCTGAACTTTTCTTACTCACGGGTGACTCTTGGCTGTATTTAAGGGCTGTAGTCTTCACCCCCCTTTGCATCTCATTGATTATGCATAGCTGTGAGAAAAACTGATTTATTTTCTGGTACATTTGGATCCATCAATTCAAATGGTAAGGAGGAAGCTGAAGTTGGTTCAATATTAGCAGCCACATGGGGACCTACCAGGTTCAAAGCTTTCAATAAGCTTTGTACTGTTGTACGGAGTAGGGTGAGGAAAGACTGGGTTTGGGATTTTGTTAGTCAGTAAAATAACTGAAATAGTATTTATTCCTGCTCACTGAAATTTATAGGAGCTCTGTCCCTGGGAGGAAAGATGAGCTCTGTTCTGAGTTGTGCTTTTTCCCAGCCTATTTGGAAAAAATATACTCAGGCAGGTTGTAACAACTGAAGCATGAGCTATTTATGTGCTGTTGGGTATTTCCATGTTGAAATATTTGACAGGCTCTATGTTAAATCTGTGGGTTGGGTTTCTAAATGCCTATCTCCAAGCCTCTCCCTTCTGCCTTGTTAAAAGAAAGGCTTTAAGAAAGGAAGTGAGGAAACTTGAAAGTTAAATGTATTCAAGGGGTTTGCTCAGAGAGCACAGGAAGCCTTCCATAGTATCAGCTCTCTCATTGAAATTGCTATATTAATTCTATTGATTAATTAGTTTGTGATTCTTTAAACACTGTAAATGCCTCTAGGACTTTTTAAGGAAGAAGTTGCACTTGGGGATAGAGCTCTCAAAGACACCAGAATCAAATCAGGCTAAGGCTTCATTTGCCTTGTAATACTTGGCCCACAGCTGATGAGGATGTGTTTTACAGGGCTGAAGGTAAGAAGCAATCACTTCAGCTGTATGTGTCTGAAGGAAGTTTGCTTAGAAACCACCTTCTAGAGGAAAAAGATAAAAAATCCCTGCCCTATTCAAGAAGAGCATCAGGCTGCCTGGTGTGATTTGTGGTGGGGAGGCATGTATTACTGACAGCAGACTGGCTCAGGCTGGTGCCTTTACTGTCAAGTCTTAATGATGATGCCCTTGCCTGGAAACAATGCCCAACCTGTGACCAGGGACCCTCTGCTGCTGGAGCTGGTGTCTGCAGGTAAGGTGCAGGAAGGTGGCCCTGATCCCCTCAAAATCACTGAAGATCCTATATTTCAAAAGAGAATAGGGTTTCCTGTTGATGCTTTAATCTGGTTCTCTGCATAAAATTGGTGTGATGGGGGTGATGGTTACTGTTCCTGCAGATGATGTTCCATGGTGTCAGTAGCACATTCAAATAGCAAACCAAGATTATTGCCCTTACACTGCACAGCCGTTAGCAGACTTGGACATGGATGTCACCAATAGCCTCAGAGCTGGATAGAATTTGTCCTGTTGTTTGCAATGTTAATGCAATGATTTGGTTTGAGAGACACTATAAGCTGAATGGACTCTCTTGTTTACATGCATATGGTTTCCTTTAGAGCTGCTGAGCTGCCCAGGTACAACAGGAGAAATTCTGAGTTGTTTAACATCATTAATGTCCAGCATCCCAACTCCTGCCTCCAGATGAAAGCCCTGGTAATATGATTTGCCATCCACTGGCTTTTTATGATAAGACTTTGCAGGAACAATGAAGGTAACCTGTGTGCCCAATGTGATCAGGGTAATATTGCTGGGTTTTGCAAAGGTGAAAGTAATGATGAAGCTTTGCGCTGAGCCTAGTGGGGTTCTTTACTGTACTTCAATAAGCCTGCAAATTGGGGAGTGTAAGAACACGAGTAACTGTACAATCTTTTGTTGCCCTTCATACAGCTGTGCTCAGTTGTTGACAACAGGACTTGGGAGAAAGCAGATGGTTTTGCAGTCCAGAAGTCTGGAATTCATTAGTGGAAATTTTCAGACATGGGTTGGTTTGTTGGGTTTGGGTTGGTTTTTTGTTTTTTTTTTTTTTTTCCTACTTTTTTATTTTCTAATTCCTTGGCTTAGTTACAAGAAGTCAAAGCAAACAGAGCTGAAAATCCATAGCGAGGGGTGTGAAAGAGTTTCTTTGCTCTCTTTCACCAAAGAAGTGACTGGGAAGAGAAATCAAACACTTGTGAATTTCTGTTTCCTGGTTTGCTTTCTCTGTGATGGCAAAACTTTACTGAGAAGAGGAGCTCTTAAGAGCTTCTCTGGAATTCGGGTTTATTTGGAGAACCCCAACACAATACTCGCTACTAAAGACTGCAGTTGTGCTGACCTTGTAAAGGAAAGGGGAGGAGATGGCAGAAGTGATGTGAATTCAAAGAGTTCAAACTGTGGAGTTTTTCCAACAAGGATCTTTTTCTTCTACACAGGAACCCCACTTAGAAATAAGAACTGCACAGCCAATGTTAACCTGTGACATCCTGACTCCAGACGGGAGCGAAGCTCTTTGATAATGAGGTGCTGTGCCTTGGAAAGGAGGAGCTTTGTGCTGGCACTTTTTATTGTATGAGCTTGTTTTCTAGGCACTTAGTGCAGACTGCAGCACTGCAATAGCGTGACTGCCGGGAGGAAGCCTGGAGGTGGAAAAATGCTTCACATGAGTACAAGTATAGAAATCCTGTGGGCCTTGGGAGCCAGGCACCAGCCCCACTGCCCCAGCACAGAGCTCTTAGCCAGGTTCTGCTCTGAGCTCACCCTTCTCAGTGTCTCATCTCCGTTTCTTCCTCCTTGTGGGTTTTTCATCCATTGATGACTGACTACTGGGTCAGCCAGTAAATGGTGTGACTAAAAGAAAACCCAATGGGAGTCTTTTATGTAAACCGAAGTGTTTAATTATGGCAGATGATAATCCTCCATTACTTGGAAAAGGCAGAGTTCCTTAGCTGGGGTTTCCTTAGCATGACCCAGTTCAAAAAGCAAACAACACTGCACAGTTGCTCCTTAGCTCCAAGGGTGCTGGTGCTTGCTTGTGAAATGATGCTCTTCCCATGGGTTCGCAGCATGGAAATTCTTGTCTCAACTCCAGTGGCAGATGCAAGCCAGTCAAGCTGTTCCTTCGGCCTTCTTTTTAGTGCTACTTGATGTAAATGAACTCAGAAGATATGTGATAGAAAACAGAATGGTTCCTTAACTTGAAAATTTCTCATGAACTTACAATGTTTTCAGCACATACAAGTTAAAACTGCATTTCTTTAGGCTGCTTAGAAGGAATTTCAGTTCTTTGTGTCAACTGGGTTTATAAATACACTTATTCCTGCTGTCCATTTCATGCCCTTCATTCAACACCTATCTGTGTTTGAGATAATTTAAAATGTAATCCAACTTATTAGAGCAACATAGCTGAGGCCAAGCTCTGAACTTGAACTGACTGCTTTGCTTTCAGATGCTCTCTTGGGCTATGGCAATACCACATGTGTAGCTGTGCAAGCACCAGTTTAAACATCACTATGGTTAGAAGACTTCAGTACTACTTCCCTCCAGAACACAAGCAGAACCTTCACAGCTCATAAAGCCAGAAGAGACTTGTGATCATCCTGTCTGCCTGCTGCAGGACCCAGTGGTAACTGCCTTGATGTAGAGTTGATGTCCTGTGGCATGATCCTTTATGGGGGGTGGAGGAAGGCCTGGTGCACACAGCTGTACAAATAAGGGATTTAGCTGGTTTGGTTTAGTTTGCTGGCCAGTTTTGGTCAACTGAATTGAAAACTGCCTGCCTTTGCTGTCAAAATGTACAGCATATAAAAAAGGTTTTGGATCTGACTTAAAGTGAAACGTTATGATTGGGGGAAAGTATTCCTTAAGAGTAAACCAACTTCATTATAACTAAAATACAGAAAAGAGAAATATCTACTCCTCTTTGGTTTTCTGGCAACTCCTCTCGCTACACCCCCAAATTCTTACCTGAATTTTGTCCAGGTTATAGTGATTTAGTGTATTTTTGTCCCTTTAAATTGCAGAAGCAGTAGGAAGCATTTCAGATGTGGGTGCTCATTTTCAGCACACAAGTTAAAGGAGCACCGTTAAAAGTGGAAACACTACTTCTACAATCAAAGGAGGTACCTGGGGAAAAAAAAACTTCCAGGGGAAAAAATCCATCATGTTGCCTCCTACTTGCCTAAATACAATGGTTGGGGTAAGCTGAGGACAATGTTTTGCTTCAAAACTGCATTTCCTGCTCTCAGTCAACCTACAGCTTACCTCATCTGGTATGTTCACCCCAAAAGAATCACAGCCCAGTGACAATAACACAGGCAGCTTTGGTTGACAAAGGTGACTTTACAGTGCAACAGCATAAACATCCTCATGAGGGTGTCATCCTTTCATGCATCTCATGGGATACCCTATATATGAAGTTCTAAATCCATTTAGTAGTTGGTGCTATTAGGAGTAGATAGAATCCATCTGAGTGGGTGAATGCCAAAGGGGATTATTTATTTTACTGTAACACAAATCTATGCTTAATAGGAGGGAAAAGTATATTTATTATTTTTTAATATAAATAAGGGAAAATACAAGGAATTATTACTGGCAATAAACCAGTGCAATTCATAGCTTGGTTGTAACAGCTGTGTAACTGTGTAGATTGCAGAAGTTGTCAGGGGATGAATTCATGGCTGGACATGAGCCTGGCTGAGGGTTGGTAGCAGCAGGGTGTTGGTGTGGAGCATGCACTCGAGGTGATGCAATGGGGGAGCTTCCGTATCACTGCACAACTTTGCCTCATTTCCAGGTTAACATCCTGCACCCTTCTTGTAGGTTGTACAGCACCCTGTTTCAGCTAATTTATCAACATGTAACTTCTGCTCAGCAGGCTCTATCATCCTGTCCCATAGCAACGCTATGTGTGTAGTAAACAAATTGATGCCCTGCATTACTGCTTCTTAGGTACTTCCTAATTCCTAGTATGGAGGAACTGCATGAGAACTGAACTGGTTTTGCATACAGCTGGTGCTAGAAATGTCATCTTGAAATCCCATTGTGCAATGTCTTTACTTCTAGCAATGCAAGATTATGGCAGACTTAATAACCCTCAAACTCCAGAAATGGAGATAGAGAGGGGTCATTAATTTGCAGTGAAAGAAAATGAATGCTTCTATTTAAGCATAGTTTATGCCATTTTCCTTTGAATAAGCTGCCAAAAGAACAAGAACATAAGCCATTACAAAAACAACTTAAGCTGTAGCTGTGATTTGTGTCAAGAACTGAAAAAGGGAAAAATATAGAAACTGTGGGCAAGAGCAAGAAACTATGAGTGCTGTAGCTGTGATTTCAGGACTGAAAATAACCCATTGGTGAGATGAGTTTCCTTCAGTCATTTATCAGTTGCTAGCCAACAGCATCACATATCTATCATAACTATTAATGTATTTATTAAAGCTGAGGAAGGTCTGGTCGCCTGTGGGTGTTTAGCGGTGTTCAAGCATGAGGATCTTTACTTTCAGCCTCTCTTATAAATAAATAGTGGCACTGCAGCTGCAATGTTAAATAGACCAGCTTAAAAATCACTGCTGTATCTTCAATCTGGCTCCCACCATTTATTTATTTTAATTACAAACAGGGGGGAAAGGGGCAGTGTTTAAGTTCCCAGTGTGTAATCTTTTGATGTTTATCTTGCTTGTAGAAGGAAGTGATAGGGACAGCAGATTTGAATGTGTGAGGTGAAGCCAGATGCATCTTGTTATACGGGCTGCTTTTAGAATTGGGATTTGTTTTCTTTTAGTCTAGAGCTGCTGATAAAGAGCTGTATGGAAGCAGCTCATATTCCCAGGACCTTCCCTCCAGCTCCTTCCAGTTACTGCTGTGGCAGCTTCTTGCTGGGCAGTGGTGGCAGAAGCAATGCTGTGGGGTGAGACGGTGGAGAAAACTGGACTGTACTTAGCATCCCTTTCCTGCGTGGAGAGCACAGGTATGAGCTGTGCAAAACAGAAGGTTTCGATTTGTAAAATCAGAAGCTTCTTGCCAGAGAACTGTCTAAAGGGCAAACCGGAAGGCAGCCAGCAGCAAAACTATTTTCTAGCTTCAAAGGTGTCCCTTTCAAAGGCGAGTTTAAATCCTTGAAGTATTAAAGCTGTGAAAACAAATCAAGAGAAGAATGGAATGAAATTGTTCCTACCAAAATAGCAGACCAGGTTCATATGTTTAGAAGCAAAATTCAGCAGAGCAGTGCAGAAGTTGCACTTCACCCCGCTCTGTGGTGCGCAGTGGGACAGTGCAGCTTGGGAAGTGCAGAATTACTGTGCCAGGAGGGCTCTATGGGAACTGGGGAAGGAGTGTAAGGCTTTCCTTTAGTGGAGAAGAAAGAGGTGATGCCGTGGCCAGTCCTGCGGTGTGGTGCGGCTGTATGAGCTATGTGGACTAGCTGTGGTACCTCTTTGATTCTACAATCAGCTCCTTGTTCAACCACTTTCAGTGAAGTCATAATTTGATGTATACTGGAAAATTCTGATTTCTTTTAATGTTTTGAGGGTTTCTTTTTAATCTTTGGAATTTGAGCTTTTTAACTTGTTACATGGGCATGCTTCCCCCTGCTACTAAAAGGAGCAAACTTTGCTCCCTCCAACCCTTTGTAATCTGTGAGAATCCTGTATGTATGAAAAATAGTGACTAGAAGGTCCTGATCCCCAGAAATGGGGCAGGGGAGGGCAGGTATACAGATTGTTCTGTCAGCATTTCTGACTCTTGACCTGTAGGACCACACAACAGGCTGAGAAAATTAATCCAGCACCAAAGGCTAGCTTGCTTGAAAAAATCTGTGTTTCCAAACACTTCTTTCTTTTCCCTGACACTTCCCATTAAATTATTTGCAGCTCCTGTTATGAGGAATTTGCATCAAATGCTCAGGAAACCACTTAGTGCTGTTTAAACCCAGAATGGTTTAGCTGAATTCTTACTAAATGCACCTTTGTGTTTTTCAGGTATTTCAAATCTAGTTAAATAGGCTGGACTGGTTTTGCATTACACATGTTCGTCACGACAATTCTGCTGAAAACTGTTATTGAATTAAATCGTGGTTACTTAATTCTCAATCATAGGTATGACCTCGATTCACATTTATGCATAACTCCTCCTAAAATGCATTTTTAGCATTTCAAAGACAGCTGTCTGACAGTGACGAATGATGATTAACTCTCCCCTGTTCTCAAATGAAACGCTCTTCATTACTGTTATGTACTTTTAAGCTGAAAATGCCAACTCCTTAGTCCTAGACAGATCCTAAGTGAACAGCTAGTTGACACCTCCATGGAGAGAACCATCACTGTAACAAACATGTTCTCCTCTCCTTTGAACTTCTCAGCAGAAGAAAGGTGTTGCTGTCTTCACTTCAAAGGCGCTTCCTGAGTATCTGCAAAACTTACTGTGGAGCTGAGGTGGATGCAGAGGGCAGCCAGCCTTTCCTATGTAGCTGTGTCCTGTCCCAGAGCAAGCAGGCACTATGCACCTCCTTCAAATGCCATCAAGGTTAGCCTCTTATCTTTTTTCCTATTGTGAAATTCAGATTCACTGGAGTCACTCCTGGTTAACAGCAGTCACTTCACCGTTATTGGACTGGGAAGAATCACTGAATCATAGAATGGTTTGGTTTGGAAGGAACCTTAAAGCTCATCTAATTCCAAACGCCTGCCATGGGCAGGGACCCCTTCCACTAGAGCAGCTTGCTCCAAGCCCCTGTGTCCAACCTGGCCTTGAACACTGCCAGGGATGGGGCAGCCACAGCTTCTCTGGGCACCCTGTGCCAGCGCCTCAGCACCCTCACAGGGAAGCACTTCTGCCTAAGAGCTCACTATAATCTCCCCTCTGTCAGGTTAAAGCAATTCCCCTTGTTCTGTCAGAGAGAAATCCAGATCAAGCTGGCAGCCCAAATATTCTTGAGGGTCTTGGTAGGGAATAACTCTGTCCCCTTTTGTTAAAGGGATGGTAATGGGAGTGCACCGGTTTTCTCACTGTTTTAATTATTTTTATTGGGAGTAATACGTAAAAATTGCAGAAGTTCAGGAGTCTGGTTAGGAGGATAATGATGCAGTGTACAGTAGCTGCTTTTGGGCTCTCAACTTTCACAGTCTGAAGGAAATGACTTCAGGGGAATTCTTCCTATTGTTCCCTTTCTTCAGTTTGTTATTGCTTTATTTCTGAGAACTGATAACCAAGAGCTATCAGTTCTCAGAAAATGTAGTAGCCGCTCAACCAGCAATCAAACAAAAAAGGTAATTTAAAAGGAGTTTTATAACACAGCTATAATCATAGAAGTGCCGGGGTGGGAAGGGATTTCCATTTGGTCACCCACCATCCTTTGCACCATACACAGATCACTCACTTCAGTGACGCCTCACAGGACAGGGTTTACTCCAGCAGTGTCACCAAGGCCATGCACCAGCCTTCCCAACCTGTTCTATTGAGTAACTGTTCCTATGAATTGTTCCCTGATATTTATCACAGTTCTTCCTTTTTGCAGTTCACATTCACTACTACTTTTTAACTTCCTGTCCCTCTTTACTAATGAGAGTGTTTTGGTCCTTTTATTCCCTGTGACAGCTGAATTTACTGAAACTCCTCAGGAGGAAATTCGGTCCCCTTTGGTGTCTGGCATGGAACAGAACTAGATGCTTAGATACGTATCTGAATCTCTTTATTTAGATATGTACCTGAACATGCAATCGCACTTTGAAATACCTCTCTTTCAAATGCTCCTGGCTGCTTTTCAGGGCAGATCATAAACGCTGTAAGAACCCATATCCGCATTAGGCTCAGAGAGAGCCTGAGGATAAATCTCTCTTCTTTCTAACCACATCCTGAATGATTTTCCTTGCTCCTCCTAATGGTGCCCTAGGCAACTTCCTTGTTACTTAATGCTAAAGCAGTGGTACAGTAGTCTCCATACTGTACCCTACTATTTCCTACTTGTATTTTTTGATCGCTTTTGATCAGGAGATGATACTTCCACGTATTTTGGCTTCTAGACTTTAACAAGTTTTAAGGTGAGATGGGATCAGTTTGATCGTCTCCTTGAAATCTGTACAACTTGCCCCTTCAAGCCAAACCTACCCATCAGTAAACACAATCAGTGTATTCTCTAACACACTTCCAAAGAGTGAAAAAGCCAAATGGCATCAGACAGATGAGTCTGGGGGGTGCTGACTGATAAGTTACTGAAGTCAACCACTGATTAATGCAGTTCATACTTGCAGTTGAGTCTCATTTTTGTTTAGTTTTCTCCCTGAGAATGTCACATGGAAACATGAAATGTCTTGTGTGAGTGGAATTTTGGGCTCTGACTCGTGATCTTTGGCAGTTAGTATTGCAGTGATGTTAAAAGAGGACAAAAAAGGTGTTTCTTTCCTATCGTCTACACCACTCATTAGTTAAAATGCATGTTGCACAGGGAGCAAAACACTGTTTCTTTATTGCATATAATTTATTGTAAGTAGCAGTTTTACTTAACATGCGCAGCTGAGATTAGGAACCTCCCCCTTGGCTTGGGCTGCACTGGGGGGAACAAGATCAGAGACTGCTTCAGAGGAGGAGCAAAGCAACCTGAACAGACAAGAAACTGGAATGGAAGTGTCGGAATGACCTGCCCGATGTCACACAGCAGCTCGGTGACAGAACTGGGGCTGCAACAGTGACAAATCATGGGCTTGTTTGGCCTTATCCAGGGGAACAGGGGGAAGGAAAACAAAACTGGTTTTCACAGAGCATGGTGTGCATAGCTGTTTGACTCAGGCAGAAAAGATACGCTTAATTTAGTCGTTCTTTTAAACTAATTTAAAGCAGAAATTGTAACACTGTTCTCTTTAATGTTATGACTCAAAAATAATTTCAATCAAGGTTTTTTTGCCTTAAAATTGAGGCATAGTTTCCTTCCTTAAAGTAGCACAAAAGTTGACCAGAAAATAACATCGGAGTTCTTTTGTAGATGAAATGCTGATGTT